AGCGACGACTAGCAATGATATTGCCAATCTTTTTGCTGAAAAATTTAACTCTATTTATTCTGAAGATCATGTGAAAAATACAAATAACTATTTCCATAATAATTTACAAAATGTTATTCCACTCTGTAGAATTAAATTTACAGAAAAAGACATTCTAACTAAAATAAGAGGTTTGAATATTGACAAGAGTGCTGGGCCCGACAATATACCACCCCTTTTTATTAAAACATGTGCTACATCTTTACTTCTTCCACTTAAATTAATTTTTAATACGTCCCTAGAAACCGGTGTTTTTCCTTTAAAGTGGAAAATTGCTCGTGTAATACCGATTCATAAAAAAGGAGATTTGAACAATGTGTCCAACTATAGACCAATTTCCATACTTAATACGTTCTCAAAACTGTTTGAATCATTAATTTGTCCTGTATTATCAATGCATTGTAGGTTCCTATTAAATGAAAATCAGCATGGCTTTTATGCTAAAAGAAGCATTGATACTAACGTCTTTGAGCATGTCGAGAATTTGTCTAATGAAGTAGATAACGGTCATCAAGTAGACTGTATATATACAGACTTTTCAAATGCCTTCGATAAAGTCAGTCACAAAATATTAATTGATAAACTAAATTTCTATTTTGGGATTGGCGGAGAAGTGCTTAAGTGGTTTACTTCATATCTTTCCGACAGAACTCAGTTTGTGTCGATTAGCGGCTCTGATTCATCATGCTATGTTGCTTCCTCGGGAGTTCCTCAGGGCTCTCATCTCGGTCCGATTCTTTTCACGCTGTTCATTGATGATATAGGTCTTGTGATAAAACACAGTACTTTTTCATTGTACGCTGATGACATGAAATTATCTAAAGTAATTCATAATACAGAAGATGTTGCTTTACTGCAAAGCGATATCTCGAGTGTTAATACATGGTGTGCTTTAAATAAAATGGTCCTTAATGCATTAAAGTGTTATCACATAATTTTCACCAAGAAAAAACAACCAATTTGCTCTACTTATGTCGTTGGTGGCAGGCAGCTTGAAGTCGTGACGGAGATGAGAGATCTAGGAATAACACTTGACAGCAAGCTTACCTTTATACCGCACATTAATAACATTATCGATAGGGCAGCTCGAATGTCCGGTTTTATAAAAAGATCTACAAAATGTTTTAAAAAACCTCAGTCAAAAATCATAATATTTCACTCTTTAGTTCGTAGCATACTGGAATTTGGAAGCGTTGTTTGGAACCCACAGTACTCTTGTCATGTAACCCGCATTGAACGTATTAACCGGCGTTTCACCAAACATCTTTGCTCCATGACCAGAGACATTAGTTTTAGAGTCAATTACGAAACCAGGTTACAGCATTTTAAACTTAATAAGTTATCCGATAGACGACGAATGATTGACCTCTTATTTCTTTTCAAAATTTTAAATAATAAGATTGATGCCCCGAATATATTAAATAAAATCCAGTTTAATGTCCCAAGAAAAAGTTCAAGACTGAAACACTTAAAAGTATTTTATCTTCATACACCAAAAACTAACGTAGGTAGAAACCGTCCATTGTACCGTGTATGTGAGACCCTTAATAATGTCATGCGAGAAACCGACGCTGATCCTTACTTTGATTCTTTTACCCGATTTAAAAATAAAGTATTGCGACTATAGACACTTTATTATAATTAAGTTAGAATTCTGTAATTTCGAAACACTAATTTTAAGTTAACAATGCTGTGTACATCAGTAATTGGGTCCTACATAGGTATCTTAACTTATTGTTATGTTAAGTATAATGAACTACATGTAAGTGATCTGTTGATGTACCATAATAAATAAATAAATAAATAAATTGACGGGGATAAAGATAATCTTTAGTTATTCCATTTCGTTTAAGACGTATTGTATAGTAATCTATTTGGAGTGTAAAAACCTTCGTTGTTTTCTAGAATTCAGATTATTGTAGGCACATACAACATACAATTTTTTTTCATAATTCATAGACTAAAACCGAAACGCGATTAAACTTGACGGCTTTTTCATCTGTGGCCGGTGGTTCGCGACCTTGACGGAATTTCGATATCCCTTCCACTAATTTGACATCTAGATTTCAAGACGAAGTCAAATATGTGTCAGAGAAATTAGAAACATGTTGATTATTAGCCACACCCACATGCCCGCCAAAAACGATTATACCGATATAGACCAATACTGACCTATCCGCTTGTGGTCCTTGAAGTCCTGCTGCGGCTCGACGAAGGGCCGAAGCTCGTCGTCCTCGTAGCCGGTGTTCATCCACTTGTCGCGCATTATGCTCTCGAGCGAGGCGCGTTTCGCCGGATTCAGGACAAGGAACTTCTTCAATAGATTCTCGCAGTCGGTCGACATGTAGAAAGGTATTCTGAAAATTTTGTAAATATAGTTTATCTGGCTGCCTTCATGGGTTTCACCCAATTTCTTGCCGACTCTTGTCTTATTACTTCTAAAAATGATACAACAGTTAAAATCTCTTTCCCATAGAAAACATTAGAAGACAACATATATTAACTAAATATATGTTAGTTTTGGCAAGTATTGTATTTTGTTAGAACTAAAATATTCATGTAATGTAAAGGAGGAAAAAACGCCTTTGTGTCTTGATGTTTAAAACGAGAGTTTAACGCGAGAGGTTTTGGATTCGAAACGTTCAATCTGAAGAGTTGATTGCCAAAATGTTACACAATATTAATATTTAAAAAAAAAAACATTTAAATGATAACCATGCTTGGGGATACAGATACCCCCGTTCTTACAAGAAAAAAGATGTACACATTAAGAGCGCAAGGAACTTGGATCAAACACTTGACGGCGACGAGTTTCTCGTTCGTTCTACACCCTTAATTTGGGGACCGATAGTAAATGTAAATCT